TTATATTTCAATTCGAATGCAATCCCAGCCCCCAATGGCACCTAAAAATAATTCCCAATGTCACTATACATGTCATTCCCACGTTCAATCTCACCTGAGCTCCCACAATACCGTTCCCGCCATAAAAATTTGGAGCATACATGTGCATCGAACCACCTTTTCCTTTGGCACAGCCTGACTTCTTACCTACAAAGTGAACATAATATTTTTATAATATATGTACTCGTGTTCTTTCTTCTCTTTCTTTCTTCTAAACGTTTCATTTACCAGTTAACTCTGCCAGTATTCCAAAGGGCTCTATTCCTCTGGTGTATGCCCAGCTGTGGGCACGATAGGCAGTGATAACAGGATCATCTTTGGTGATGGATGCCTCCATACCGACAGCACAAGCTTCCTATAGGATAATACATATTAGAGTAAGGCCCCCATATTTGGTGAGGAAAATGTGCTTATTAAGATTGCAATCTAAACATACAAATGTAGCTAACTAAATGTATTTTTCAGCTGGCAAAATTTTTATTGTTGATCCAAAAAATAATGATTCAAATCAAAATTAGATTTATGAGACAATTCTCAATTAGTATAATTTTTTTCAGAAACATAACTATACATGTCCTTAGGCTAAATATCAATTTTGAGTTGATTCTGATCAAATTTGAATTTTTTTATAAATTTTTAAAATTGCTCAAAAATCTGGTGAAAGTCCCTGTGCTTAGTACAGGGTCTTTGGCCAAATTTCACCAAAATTGACTGGGAAAGAATTATCCATTTTTATAATTTTTTTCTGATACATATACATATCCTTAGGTTAAATATCAATTTTGAATTGATTCCAATCAAATTTGGATGTTTTATGAATTTTTAAAGTGCAAAACCAAAGATTGTGTGAATATTCACACATTAGGAGAATCACTTTGAATCTATCACAATTCATTAACACTAAGTGCTGTCAATGAGCTAATCTACATACATGTACATACATGTATACTGTACAATGTACATAACAAAGCCATTAGCTCTTAGATCTATGCTCTTTCTCTCTCCTTTGAGTCCTTTCCAACTCACTTGTCCAATGTAGAGGTGACAGAATCCTTTTATGATTTTCTGCTGATAAAGGTTCTTGGCTTCCATCTCCATTTCTCTTATCACGGTCATATCATAAAACAGCTTCTTAAGCTCATCTCTTGTTATTGTAGTCGTCGTAGAAGGACCCGAATCGAGCTTATGGAGTTTGTATTCCTAAAAGCATGAAGAGTAGAGACGTGAGAGAATCACAAATATTAAGAAATGGGTCTTGCTTCTCACCGGAATACTGAATTCTGCTGATGAAGAAGCGCATCTTGCCACTACTAGACCCTAGAGACAGAGCGAGAGTGAAAGGGTAAGAGAGAAAACTATACTCACCCTTGGCAACAAGTTTCTTACTCCTCTTATCAACGCTGCCATGTCGGGCGTGGCTGGAAAGTGAGTTGTGCGTGGGCGTACATAGTATCTAGCCCCGCCCGTTTATCACGTTTTAGAAGTTGAAAGTTCGGAAGTTCCTGTAACAAAGCTCTGAGCCTTAAACTGTTTGACAGCTGTTCTTCTGTGAATCAATGGCTTGGTTTAAGTTAGTAATTAATTTGTTTACTGTTTTCATTTTGAAATAAATTTTCTAGTAATTTCTGTGAGTGGAGTCACGTCACTTTCCTTAATTGGGCGTGGCTGGTGTTTGCATTTTGCATTGGGTGGGGCTGAAATGGAAAGGTAGGTTACTGGTTTGTCCTTTAAATTTTTTGATTGCATTTCCTAGCCCAAGGGTGCAAGAAGGCATGAAGTATGCTGCTCTTGTTCTCAGGAGAAGGAAAGAAAAAGAGAAGAGAGTTTACAAGGAGCTTTTATTATATGCTGCAGATGATTACGAAGTACTAATGAGATACTGGCCTGAGGAACCATACAAGGACTACATGTCCGCTATTTATTGCCCAGCTGGTACTGGAGACTCACCAGAGAATGCTTTAATGGCAAAAGTGACTGAATGGTCCAGAGTATTGGCAAGGGAGGCTCGGTACCCAGATCAGGGCGTCATCAAAATGGTATTTCATAATTTCCTTTCATTTTTTTCATTCTGTCTTCTCCTTTTTTGTTCCCTAAGGAATAAAGGCAGTCTTTCTGACAGTCACTGGACAATCAAAGTTCCCAGGATTTCTTCCAACTGATACTTTCCTCTCTTACATCATTCCAGCTAAATGCAGGGGTAAAAGCTTTATGAAAATTATCCCATAGCTATTAGTGATAGTACAAGGATATTTTTAAAAATTTGCATATTTTAAATGACCGTAACTTAAAAATTTGAGCTCGGAATCAACTCAAACTTTCTACACAGCATAAGGACATCAATATGTATCAAAAAATGTAATAAAAATTGGGGATGATTTTGGAGCCATTTTTTGGAAAAAACCATGGGCTATAGTACAGGGAAATTTTCAGAAATTGGCTCGTTTTTTTAAAATGGCCGTAACTCGAAAATTTTACTTCGGAATCAGCTCAAACTTTCTACATAGCTTAAAGACATCAATATGTATCAGAAAATGTAATAAAAATTTGAGGTAATTTCAGAGCCATTTTTAGAAAAAAAAACCATACATTAGATTGCTTTACTTTCAATTATGGTACTACCATTAACACATGTAATCTTACTATTACTGTTACTATAGTATAATGCATTACCCCATGTCTGCATCCACTGTAGAGTCCCATGTTGTTCGATGCTTTCCTCCCGATAACACAGAGTACTGTCACTTCTACTCATTGGAAACTCTACTGCATGGGATGTACACTGAAACTCTTAATATACATCCTTCTACAAGAGAAATGCTTGCAACACTTGACAAGTACAACAATGATAGATTCATTATATCCTTTTATGCTCTTATTTTATTGTTAATTAGCTGGTTAGGGGAGAGACACTCTCAAGTTAATGCTATCAATCAGTTATTCCAACCTCCAGTTGCTCAAAGAACCATCTATGCAGTAGCCAACCCGTTGCATAGTGAAAATAGGTGAGAGAGGAAGAAAGTGTTTTTTTAATAATACTAATATCATTATAGTGAGTCATTTGGAAAATATTGGAAGAAATTTGAAGAAGAGAAAGTCGACAAATTTGTTGATAACCCTTTATTTGGTTCTGGTTTGAAATTCAAGGACACAGTAAGATTCTATTTGACCACCATCTTGTAAACATTCCCCTCCCCCACATTGCAGCCTGAAATATACATAGTGAATAAGTATTTTGGTATGGGAGTTCCAGATTATGAATACATAGGAATGAGAAGTCAACACCAGCCATCGGGCAGGTACTTATACTTATGGCAATAGACGCAACTATTGTATATTCTGCTTTACTGATTTATAGTGGAGACTGGGTGGAGGAATTTCCATTGCACAAGTTTGCATGTGAAGGCAATGTTGATGGTATCAGAGCATATCTTTCTCAGGGTGTACAGCTTGATCCCAATGCACTTGATACCGATGGATGGGCTCCTTTGCACTATGCTTGCTGGTAATAATAATAATAATAATAATAATAATAATAATAAT